TCCCACTAGTTACCAACTGAAGGGCAAGAGAACACCTTTAAAACCATCTGTATCTGAGTCTATTTTCTTAGCTCTTACCCGAATGAACATATTGAACCTAACACCTTTGGATTCCTTTTAATTTTTATCCTGTTTTCCCTTAAAAATAAAAACTAGTTGCTAAACATCATTGGTATTTCTTTCCTGAAGCCAAAGTAAATCACAAGCTATCTTGGTCTTCTTTTTTTTTTTTTGTTTATTTCTTTCTTTTTGGGTTGGTAGATGCTGTGGTTTAGATGTTTCCCCCAGATTCATGGTTGGGACTCAATTCTATTATAAGTGTTAAGTGAAAATTTAATTTAATTATGGTGTCAAAAGATAGAGCTCTTGGGAGTTTAGTGGTTGAAGGGTGAGGGCAGGGCCTGTGACTGAGTCCTAGTAGATTTATAAGAAAGGAAATGAGGCAGGCAGAGGATGTATGGATGTAGACCACACTCTGCTCTGCTCAAAGTTCTGCCCTCTGCCATTTTGTGACACCATTGAACTTTCCAGCCACCAAAACTGTGAGTCAATAAATCTCTCTTTCTTTATAAATCACCCATTCTCTCGTATGTCTGTTAGCAAGGCAATAATGGACTAAGACAGTAGCAGATCTTGATGGTTTCTTTGGCCAAAAAACTACCGAGTTGGAGCCTATACCAATTGAGACCACCCTGCACTTATGTGCACGGTTCTCTGGACTTCGTATTTCCCATCACAAAACGATGGACCATGAGAGAGGCCAGGACATAGTGTAGAGCAAAAAGGAAGTGAGAGTGGAGACTGCAAGATGCTAAGTCTAGGAGACAACGCCTTTCAGAGAATGAAAAAACAACTTACTCTTAAGCTCTTTGTTCATAAAGCGTAACTCGCAACATCTGGATAAGGGATAAAAGCCTGGATCAACCTGCTTCTTCTTTTTCATCTCTATATTTCTATTTACTTTTCTGTTTGCAACCTGTTTGAATGTATTTAGGTACCCCCCAAGTTGGGGTATCCCAGCACTAGACATATTTGCCTTTTTTTTTTTTAAGGTCAATAAACCAACAGGGCAGAATCCTTATATTGTTCATCTTGTACTGTTCATAGTCAATGATTTTGTTTAAGAATAATTGACACCATTGTTTGCTATCAGCAGAGGCCAAAATTAGACAACCACAAGAACACCATGCAGGAAAGACTCTGGACTTAATCTAATATGTTGGAATGAGACAGTCACCACTAGCATTCTTTTTTTCTTTTTGCAGGGAATTATGAGATTTTGTGCTTAATTGTTTTTTCCTGAGAATAAGTTTATTATTGACAACATCCTTATTTAAACTTGATGACAAGACAGAGAAAAGGTAGAGGAGGCACATCATCTTCCTTAGTTTCATCGCCATTTTCTGTTGGCCTTAGAGGAAATCACTACTGGGCCTTTTTTTTTTTTTTTTTTTTTTTTTGAGAGATTTTGCTATAGAATGCATATACATGCTGGAAAGACAAAAGATAGAGAGACAGAAAGTGAGAAATCACCCCCCAAGGAGGATGGCCATGCCGCAATCTTAACTCCTCTAAGGACTGTGGGCACACACACATGCACCCAGCATGTTTCAAGCTGCCAGGTCTGGGACTCAAACCACGGCTGGCCATGTAGGAGTTCAGTGACATAAACATTATGCCATCTGCTGGTCCCAGACTCTTTCTTTTTAAGTTTATTTATTTATTTCCTTTGAGAGAGACAGAGAGAGAATGGGAGAGAGATCCAACAAGGTCCTCGCACTGTTATCCTCTTCCAACCTCAGTGAGGCAGGATCAGGGACATGCGCACACTCACCTGGCATGTACAAGGAGGTCTTGGGACACAAAATCTGCAGCCTTCCCATGTGACTTCAGCATGGTGGAACATCATGTTACTAAGGCCTTACTGTCACTGACCAACCAGGACTCATAATGGGTAATGAAAGGGGAACAAGTGTCTCTTTTTTAGTGATTAAAGTTATTATTTTGAGGAGAGAGACCAATGATTATCACCAGTGCCTGATCTCCATCCTTCTTACCCTACCCATATCATGTTCTCCTTTTTTTGAGAATTTCATTCTACACTTCAAGAAGTGGCTTTCAGAAATCATTTCTAGAACTGCTAGAATGAGGGTCCCAAGTAGTATCTGACCCAAAGAATGGATTTTTAATTTCACTGTTCCTCAGTTCTTTTTCCCACATGAAGACTTATAAATGGTTCTTTGCGTTTCTTTTCAAATGACCTCAAGACATGCCTTTAATTATGAAGGAAGAGGAACAAATAGGACTTTTTAAGCAAATACACAAATAAAAGGAAAAGAGTTGACCAAAAAAGGCATGATCATGGGGCAGGGTAGAGTATAGGAAAAACCAGGGTGACAGGGCACAGGGACCTTGGTCATTGATGCCCACCTTGCGCTCACAGATGAGACAGGCATATAGTTATGTGGGCTGCCAAGGGTATCCTCAGGCAATAAATAAACAAGGCTGGAACCCAGGCTACTATCCCACAGAAAAGAGAGCTTCTCCCTCAGGTGGTCATTTCAGCTTCTGTAACAGACGCATTAAGAATGCTTGGCAATGGCTGACAGCACAGGCAGCCTGGCGCTTACTGCAAAAGCAAAGATAAAGTGGTTTCTCAAAGCAGAAATTCTCCTCCAGGGAATGTGGGAACCTCTGGGTTGAGGAGTTAGAGAAAAATGGCCTATGGTCTGCCAGTTGGTGAGCTGCTAAGGAGCCTGTTTCATCTGCATTCCTAATTAAAGCCCAAATTAAACTAGGGAAATGCTCACATGAAAAATCCCACAAGGATGGCTTTCCAGATTCTATCAGCTCAAAAGGAGTCTCAAGTGCAAATCCCCAGCTCAAACATCTGACCCACTTTTTATCAGCTCTCCCCCCAGAGTCCTGGAGAGAAGGTTATACTGTCTTCGGTATATGGAGAGCAACTTGCCTGGGTTATTAATTTCTCACTTAGCGAGTTTTGAAATGTAAATCAGAATCCACCCAGTTCTAGGAGACATCGTATTTTAGAGGATGATGGAAAAATTTACACTTAAGTTCTTGCTTTGAAAAGTTTAATTTGCAACCTCTGTGCAAGGAATAAAAGCTTAGATTAGACTTGTCCTTCCCTTTTCATCTCTATACTTCTTTTTCTAAATTTAATTTTGTTTATTATTATGATTATTATCTTTACTTTGCTATAGGGCATGTGCACTTGCCAGAAAGAGATGAGAGAGAGAGAGAGAGACGCGTGCACTCGCGAGAGAGAGAAGAGAGAGAGAGAGAGAGAGAGAGAGAGAGAGAGAGAGAGAGAACGCCACCAGGTTCGGGACTTGAACTGCTATCAGCCATGTAGAAGTCCAACATGTTAATCATCGTGCCATCTGCTGCCCCTCATCTCTGTACTTCTTTTGACTTTTGTATTTGCAACCTGCTTGAATAGGCTTAGGAATAAGTGTGAAGGTACATGGGAATGTAAGCTTGGGAAAAGGAGAATTCACTGATGACCAAAACATTCCTATTTTGAAAATTAGAGTGAGAAACCCGAAGAAGAGCTGCTTTAGGGCTATATGAGACATTTGGTTGGGGGAAAGTTTGAATATGAGCTGTCAGAGGGAGTAGATAACAGGAGTCCAAAAATGAGGTAAAGATCGGAGGCAGGGGCCAGTTCTTAAGTGCACAAATTAAGCCCTATGCATAGTGAGCTGGATCCCATATGGCTGACTGTGGTTCAAATCCTAGCCCCAGCAGTTTTATAAATATGCTGAGTTCATGTGCATATGTGTTTAAAATTCTGATGGAATGGAAGATGGATGAAAAAGGACTGCAACATGATCTCACACCGGGAGTGCTTTCTCTCTCTCTTTCTGGTGAGTGCACATGCTCTCTGGCAATAATTTTTAAAAATACAGTGAGGGTCAAGTGATAGCACAGTGTATCATGAAACATCCTATGGAGCAATCCTTCATGGGAAAATTGACAGTGCAAGTATTCTCTAAGTACACCAGGCAACACTTGCCCATGATCTGGGGCTGGCTGAAGGGTGAGGGTGGATTATGGTATTAAGATCTTATTGAGGGGGGATCAGCAGATGGCATAATGGTTACATCATTGGACTCCCATGTGGTCGACCGTGGTTTGAGTCCCAGACCCGGTAGCTTAAAACTCACTCCAGGCATGTGTGTATGCATGCCCGAAATCCTGAGAGGAGAACAGAAGAGAAGGGATTGCAGTGTGGCCATCCCCCTTGTGGGTGATTTCTTGCTTTCTGTCTCTATCTCTCTAGTGAGCACATGTGTCCTACAGCAAAAATATCTCTAAATAAAAGAGCTTATTGGGGGTGCTATCTTTCACTCTTTCTCGCTCTTGCTCATGGAAAAAATAGATAAAACGTCTACCAAATTGACTGAAGATTAAAAAAAAATGGGGCTATGAGCATGAAGAAGACATTTAAGGTACAGAGTTGAATTAGATCAGCGTGAGAAAGTACTCAGTGGGAAGTTGAGAGGGTCCTGCTGCAGTCATGGGTGGATACTGAGAAGTCCACTGCTTGACATGAGCTGACCACTTACCAGCCTGCTTACTTTCCCATTCACAAGATGAGGCATGCCAACCTCCTCAGAGCATGTGGATTCACTACCAGAAGCCTTCCATAAAATGACTTATTAAACTACTTGGTGTCTTCCTTTCCATCACAGGCCAAGACAATTTTCCAGGCAAACCAAAGTCCTCACACAATAACCCAAGAGAAGGCAGCCAGTAAAGGGAGAGCATCCTTGTTTCCTCTTCCCCCAGTCATACAAAGGGCTGAGAATGATTTAGTATGCACAAGACAGAAAAGTAGAAAGCCCCTGGTGCCGCTCTGCCATGGATCCATTTGGTCTATCATAATACGTCAAGAGGCTTTACTTCAACCACCCTGGCTACCTCCTTGGTGGAATCAGCAGAAACTGGGAAGCAGGTTTCCCAGGAAAACTCACCCTGGGGTCTTGTTCCAGCTGCTGCTTGTGGTGCAGGCTGCGTCTTCTCTTGGCCTTTGCAAGGCCATTGTGATAAAAGTGGTATAGGCCTTCAGCGAAGGGAAGCTGTGGAGGGTCAGACAGACACAAGGCATGGTTAGCTTTCATGGGGTGGAGATGTATGTCAGAAAATACTAGCAAACTTCTTATCAGACTCAGCCCTCTATGTTCCCATTATTG